GGGATCATTAGTCAATGCAGGTGGTCGGGGTGTCCCCGGTGGCATCGCCCGTCTGGTCTTGCCGCTCTTCTGGGCCCGGAGCTGAGACATAGCTGGGGCCTAGACGTCATTGCCAGGGTTAATGCTCAAGGGAGCAGTCGTGCAAGGACCGCATGGGGGTCACAGGCGGCCCCTCTTCGGCCCCTGGTTCCTCCTCCAAGGGGGTCCGATGCCCGGGGAGGAAAGGTCAGGGGGTCTGAGCCGCATGACCCGCCAGGTGCTGGGGGAGGAGAGGCGACCCTGGGGGCAAGGTTCTCGCTTTCCCAATGCTGCCTGTTGCTAGGCACCTGGGCTTTCCACACTGACCTTCTGTACCTGACTCAGTGTCCGTGTTCTGCTCATGTCCATCTGACTGGCTACCGCAGATCCACCCCACACCTGTGGTCATGAGCCCGGCTCTTCAGATTGAACACTGAGGCAGGCCCTGGCTGGTGTGGCTCAGTGGATAGAGCGCCGGCCTGCGGACTGATGAGTCCCAGGTTTGATTCTGGTCAAGGGTGCGTGCCCGGGTTGCGGGCTCGATCTCCAGTGGGGGGGTTGGGAGGGGGGCATGCAGGAGGCAGCCGATCCATGATTCTCTCTCATCATCGATGTCTCTCTCTCCCTCTCCTTTCCTCTCTGAAATCAATCAAAATATATATATTTTTTTAAAAGGCAAAGAAAACTGAGGCAGGAAGAGGAGACCAGGCCGTCCGTGGCTGGGGTCCAATCTGGGCCTCGGTCCCTTAGAAGCCATGCCCTGCCCTTGGTCGCGCTGCCACCCGCCTCTGAGCTTGGGAGGTGGACTCAGTCCGTCGGGTGCCAGACGGGCCCTGCGGCTGGACGTTCCCAGGTGTTAACAGGCTGACATCTCCGAGGCCCACGCACTTGGCCGCGCTCCAGCCTCCAGCCGCACATCAAAGGCGGTGCTGAAAGGATGAAGCCGGGAGTGGCGCCAGGGGTGTTGGCCAGGCGCTGGGGGCACGGGGACCTGCCCGTGCCTGCTGTTGGCCAGAGCTTGTCTCCCCACCACCACTGGCCACTGCAGCCCCCCCACAAGCCGTGTCTCCCTCCCATCCTTTCCGTGTGGTCTGCGTGGCTCTGTTCTGTGGCCTCGGACAGTGGCGGGCGGGCCCACCTGGAGCAGGCGGACTCACAGTCGCTGCAGAGAGCATTCTAGGAAGGCAAACTGAGGCATGACCCGGGAAGATCTTTTTTTTTTCTTTTTAACATGTTTTTATTGATTTCAGAGAGGAAGGGAGAGGAAGAGGGAGAGAGAAACATCAATGATGAGAGAATCATGGATCGGCTGCCTCCTGCACACCCCCTGCTGGGGATTGAGCTGCAACCCGGGCACGTGCCCTGACCAGGAATCGAACCGTGACCTCCTGGTTGATAGGTCAACGCTCAACCACTGAGCCACCAGCCAACCAGCCAGTCTCATTGTCTTTAGAGACAATGAGTCCCCCACTGGGCAGCTGTGGGAGATGGGGGACTGGAGATGGGAGGTCAGAGACGAAACGTGGGAGATTCTGGGATCCTAGGGTTGAGATGCCGTGATGTTGGGATTTGCGGTCACTTGTTCCGTCCGTTTCCCAGATGTGTCCTTGGGGCAGATACCAGGAGACACAGAGAGTCCTGGACGAGGCCCGGGTTCCCGGCCCGGCAGGCTCTGGAGGCTGGAGCAGGCACTCTGCATCTTGACCAGACCTGCCGGCCTGGCTCACTCCCCGTGAGGCTGTTGGCTGCACCCAGGGATGTCATGGCTCGACCAGCTGGGGTCCACCCGGGGCACGAGGCTCACCTGGCACGTCCTGGAGCTCGGCCACGGCCATTCCTGGGATCTGGTAGCGGGGCGGGCGGGACAGGCTGCAAGGAGAGGTCACTTGGAGGGAGCGGGTCTCAGGGCCCTGCTCCGGTCACGGGCCACTGCCCCGCTGATGGCTTGGGGCAAATCCCTTGCCCTCACGGGGTGCTGCCTCCCCGTGCGGGGAGCACCTGGGCAGAGAGGTGAGGCAGGTCCCAGCCTGTCAGGACAGGACGGGCCAGGAGGCCACGGGGGGCCCACTTCTCAGAGGGAGACGGGCGGTGCCCAGCCAGCCTTGCCCACTGGAGCAGAGCCGGAGCCGCCTCCCTGGCCACGGCCCTGGAGGCTCTCTGAGTCGCTGGTGCCAGGACAGGAGGGCGATTAGGAGATTAAAGGGCCCGGCCAGCCGGTGGGGCTCAGGGACTGAGTATCAGCCTGTCAACCAGGAGGTCACTGTATGATTCCCGGTCAGGGCACAGGCCCGGGTTGTGGGCTCGACCCCCAATGAGGGGCGTGCAGGAGGCAGCCGATCCATGATTCTCTCTCATCATTGATGTTTCTCTCTCTCTCCCTTCCTCTCTGAAATCAATACAAGTATATATTTTTTAAGAAAATATGAAAGGCACCAGGATGGTGGGGTACCTACCTGTGCTGAGCCGGCACAGCCAGGGGTGAACCTGAGGGGGGGGGCAGTGAAGGATGGAGAAAAGACAGACAAGAGAACAAAGCTGGGGCCGGGTGGGATGCTGCTCTCGGATGGAGAGACAGCGCCACGGCCTGCAAACCGAGTCTTTATTTTATAGCCGGATCCCACGAGGCAAAGGAAGGGCAGGTCAAGATGTTTACAACGTTCTGGGGGTTTCGAATCTACTCAATCACATGCACCTGATCAAGCTTTGTTTCCTTGCTGCACCTCCCGCAGCTCACATCACTCAGCCTCCTGGGAGCCGCTCTCCACAGTACCCCGCCCCCTTCCCGCTGCCCTGACAGCTGCCCCTGGCTGGAGGCAGCTTGGCCCAGGAAAGCTCTTCCAGGAACAAGTATGCGAAGAGCCCAGCTCGGCCAGCCGCCAGCCAGCACCTCTGTACCACGGCCCTGCCCCCTGCACGGCTGGCTGAGGAGCTAATGGGCACACACCGGGGTCGTAAGGCTGAGTGGGGTTAATGGGTTACCCGGCCCCATGACACCTCCACCGCCTCCTGGGCTCTCAAAGTCCAGCGCCTGTCCTTCAAGGCCTGCGCTCGGCCCGTCCCTGCCAGCCTTGACGCCTGGGGAGGGCGTGGAGGGTGAAGGGAGGGCGCGCCTCCCTTCCCCCTCTCTGCTCCCGGAGATGCCTCCAGCTCCAGGCCCCCAGGCCCAAGGGGTTCTCTCCCCCCCAGGCCTGGCCTCCCCAGTGCCATCCCAGCTCTGCCTGGATGCCCCCCTGACCCCCAGGATGTTTGCCCCTCCCTCGGGGCCCTGGGGTCTTCCTCCTTCGTGGCTAACCGTACTATTCCACCCACAGTCTGACTGGGGGGTCCTGGAGAGAGGAATCTAGATGGGCCAGGATCCGATGGGCGAATGAATGAATGAATGAATGAATGAATTTAAGCCAGGGCTGTGCTTGTGGGGGCAGTTCTGGCAGACAGCGGGCCAGGTGTGGACCTCAGAGGCACAGGAAGGCTTGGGCCGGCCAGCCCTGGGGGGCACCACCCCATGCCATTCGATGGGGGGCACCCACCCCATGCCATTCGATGGGGGCACCCACCCCATGGCATTCGATGGGGGGCACCACCCCATGCCATGGATGGGGGGCACGACCCCATGGCATTCGATGGGGGGCACTACCCCATGCCATTGGATGGGGGGCACCACCCCATGGCATTCGATGGGGGCACCACCCCATGGCATTTGATGGGGGGCACCACCCCATGCCATGGATGGGCAGGAGCAGGGGCGGGGGTGGGTGATGGCCCATCTCTCACCCTCACTGCCTTGTGTCCTCCATTGGTCTGTCTGCTCACGACTCCAGAAAGTTGGGGGATGAGGAAAGGGTCCCCTGGGTCATGTGACTCCCTTCAGGTCAAGTGACCTGGGTCCTTGGAGGGACCGCCTCCAGGGTGGTCGGGGGTGGGGGGGCGGGTTAGGGAGAGGGCCTGCGTAGAGGTGCAGCCCGACCCCGACCCCGGGGTTGTAGAGAGAACCTTAGGCCCCTCGGACCTGGTGGGGTCGAAGCTGCTTATACCCACCCCCCCTCGTGCAGGCGTCTGGCTCCACCCTGTGCTGTGTGACCCCCTCTCTGGATATCGTAAGTTGGGGGGAAGCTCACCTCCTTTCAGGGGACCCTGGGTCTGATCTGCCTCTGCTGGAAACGCAAGCCCAGGCAGCCCTCCTGAGGCCCAGGAGCCTCGGGGCTCGGTCAGGGTGTGGAACCCCACTGAGTCCGCGAGGCCAGCAGCCCTCCTCCCACCTGGGGCGGCTCCTGTGCCTTTAAAGCCTTCCCCCACCGGCCAGCACGGGAGGGAGGGTGGAGCTGCCCCAGCTGGGCTCCGGGACTCAGTCCTGTGCTGGGCAGCAGGAGGCCCTGCCCTGGCGCCAGGTGAGCTGGGATGGAGGGGGGTCCTGCATCCCGACCCCGGGGCTGTCACCCCAAAGCACATCTCCCCCCAGGGAGCTGCTGGACGTCATGGTGGGGGAGACGCTCGGGCTTGGGGCCTCCCGGAACGTCTGGGGGCCCGGGGTCCAGCCCCAGCTCTGCCCGACGTCATGCTCCCGGGTGAAGGGAGTGAGCTGCCCTTCGGGGTGACAGGGCAGGGCTCCTGCGGACGGGCCAGCAGGGGGGTCCCGCAGGTGGGCAGAGCCCTGGGCTCCCGCAGGGTTGGCTGCGCTCCCTCTGCCACAGGTGTGGGCGGAGAAGGGCGGGTGCGGCCGCCTGGCTTCTCTGAAAAGGCTTTGGAGGAAGCGGGCTTCTCAGAATTGAGGGGGAGGGTGCCCCGTGGAGAAGCTGAGCCTGGGAGGGTCTGGCGGGCAGAGGGGAACGGGGTCACGGGGGTTGGGGGTCAGGTCTGGAGCGAGCTGGGGCCGTGCTCTCGGGGCACGCTCGCCCCGCTGCGGCTCTGGCTGGGCTGTGGGGGGCGTGGGGCAGGGTCGGTTGTGCAAGGGTCATTGCACAACTCTAGGGGTGCCCCTCGCTTTTGGGGTGTCTCCGGCAGATTTCAACAGGTTTCCGGCAGATAGTGGTCAGAGGACGGGTCTGATTCTCAGCCTTAGGCTGCCAGGGTGGGCGTCGGGGAAGTCAGCTTCCCAGGCGGCCGTGTGGCCAGGGCGGAGGAGGCTGCGAGGTGGGTGACTCCTCGCTGTGGGCACAGTGGTTTCGGGGGGCCGCCTGGTTGCCAAGCTGCTTCTCCCCTAAGCCTGGGTTTCCTGCCTGAGAATGGGTTTGGGGCTGGGCCCTGTTTTCAACCGGTGGCTCTGGGGCTGGGATGACACAGCCCTGGGCTGAGTTGGAGGATTAACAGAACTCCGAGCTGGCTGCTCTGCCCTCTTCCCTACCCTCCTCTCCGCCGCGCCCGCGAACTCGCTTGGCTCAGCCTCAGTTCCGCTCGCTCGGGGGTGAGTAGAGGTGTTGGGAGGGGGTGGTGCTAATGGCAGAGTCAGAATCCTTGGGTGGCCCGGCCGACGTGGCTCAGTGGTTGAGCATCGACCCATGAACCAGGAGGTCACGGTTCCATTCCTGGTCAGGGCACAGGCCCAGGTTGCAGGGTCCATCCCCACCCAGCAGGGGGCGTGCAGGAGGCAGCTGATGGATGATTCTTTCTCATCATTGATGCTTCTACCCCTCCCTCCCTCCCTCTCCCTTCCTCTCTCTGAAATCAATTAAAAAAAACAAACAAACACCCACCTTGGCCAGTTTGGCTCAATGGATAGAGCGTCAGCCTGTGGATCGAAGGATCCTGGGTTTGATTCCCAGTCAAGGGCACAGGCCCAGGTTGCAGGCTCCATCCCCAGTGGGGGGCGTGCAGGAGGCAGGCGGTCAATGATTCTCTCTCATCATTGATGTTTCTCTCTCTCTCTCTCTCTCTCCCTTCCTCTCTGAAATCAATAAAAAATTATATAAAAAACAAAACAAAAAACACCCCACCACCTAAGAAAAAGAGCATGTGTGTGGGTGAGGCTTGTACGTCTTTGGAGATGGGGAGCTCCCCCCTTTCTGTGCCTAGGCCGGGGGGCGTGGGGTCTGGAGGAGACCCCCAGCTCAGCCCCTGCAGCCTTGCCTGGGAGGCCAGGGTCCCCCAGGCCCCCAGCCTGTGTGCAGGGGGAGGGAGGCCGAGCAGGACAGAACGTGACGGACTCATCCTGCGTATCACGCCTCTGTTAACACGGCCTTTGCTGAGCCACCTGCCCTCCTGTCCTGTTCCCGGACCGGCCGAGGCTGCCGGGCGGGCACAGGTGACGGCGCTCATCGCCACCGGCTCGCTGTGCCCGCCCCGGACAGGAGGAGAACTGCTGAGCAGGCTCAGGTAGGGGCGGAGCCCTGTGCTTCTCCCCTGCCAACCCCTCCCCTCCAGCCCACAGCCCTGCAAGGCACCCCTCAGGCAAGGCCGGTCCCCGATGTTCCTGGCTGGTGCCCAGCCCTCGGGCACAGGCCCTGGGCCTTGGGCCTCGGCTTCTTCCCTGTTCGTCTTCCCAGTCACTCTGGTCCGCAGTTGGGGTGATGCCCAGGCCGATTGGCAGTTGTAGCATCTCTGGGCCACTCCAGGGCAGCGGTGCCAGGACACGGATCGCTTTGGCTGCGTGACCCGGGGCGGGCGGCCCTGTCTGCTCGGTGTCTCCTGTCTGTCGGGTGGCACAGCCCTGCAGGGCGGTTGTGGATTCGCTTTAGAGACGGGGAAGGCGGGGCGGGGGGCGGCTGGCGGTCCTCAGGCGTCTAGACACCTGGCCAGGGAGCGGGAGGGAGCCACGACCCAGGAAGTGGCTGATCCTTATCCTCGTCCTTATCAGATAAGGGCCTGGGGGGAGGGGGAGTCGTGTCCAAGGTCCCCAGGGCCCGGCCAGAGCGGCTCCTGAGTCAGGACCTCCTGGGTCGGCTGGGCCGGGCCACTCGGCAGCTCGGGGCCTGCACTGCTGGCCTCAGTGACCGTGGACCAGCTCGGGCCTCTGTGGGCCCTGCCTTTCCAGGCTGCGCAGGTGGTTCCTGGGGCCTGAGGCGATCATACTCCTGGGGGGGTGCGGGGGTGGGGGGCCTGGGCCTGAGCCGAGGCCCCAGGCTGAGCTTTTTTTTTTGTTTTTTGAAAATATATTTTTATTGATTTCAGAGAGGAAGGGAGAGGGAGAGAAACATCAATGAGAGAATCAGTGATGCTGCCTCCTGCACGCCCCCCACTGGGGATGGAGCCCGCAACCCGCGCCTGTGCCCTGACCGGGATTCGAACCCTGACCTCCTGGTTCATAGGTTGATGCTCAACCGCTGAGCCCGCCGGCCGGGCCCCAGGCCGTGTTTTCGAGGCTCCCTTGGCATCTGGCTGAGGGCTGTGGGTGGTGGGGAGGCCTCCCAGGTCTGGGTTCTGGTCTGAGCACCGCCCCAGGGGCCAGCTCTGGGACGCTGTGTGTGACCCTGGAGGTCAGGAGCTCTGCACGGGGCCAGGGAGCCAAGGCTGGCCAGTGGGGGACCCCGCCTGGGGCTCCCTCGAGGGGCTCTGGTAGACTCTGCCCTTCGGAAGGATCTGAGTCCCAGAGAGGGGGATCCCCTGCCTCTGTCCCCACCCCTGTCCTTCCCCCTGGGGGTCCAAGAGTCACTGCTGTCACCGCACCTTCCGGGCCTCCTGAACTTTAGTCCCCCGGGGACGGGCCGAGTCACCACGCCCCCTCCTGCCCGTGCGCCAGCCTCCGCCCGTCCTCCCTGCCAGCCCAGACCTTTAAAGGACCCCCTGCTCTCCACCCGCCCCAGCACCGGCAGCTGCCCCGCAGGCACACGGGCACCTGGCTGGCCTCTCGCCGCCTCTGGGACTCGGTGAGCGAGTCAGTCCCTCCGGTGCCTCCTGCCTCAGCTCCTCCTGGGAGGTGCCGCCCGGATCTCGGGCCCAGTTCCGAGGCCCCCTGAGCAGCGCTGCAGGGGGGGCAGGCGTGGCCGTGGCCCCTCAGGCCCCTCAGACCTCCCCGCACAGCTGCCTCCCCGGGAGCCGGAAGGCGGCTCCGCCACAGCCTAGACTTTCCCAGGCAGACCGCCTGCCTCCTCCCGCCCGGCCGCCCCAGCCCAGGGCTGTCCCCGGAGGAACCCGGGCTTTCCTGGTCTCCGGGTGCCCCCGGGCCTCAGGTAAGCCCCCAGGGTCCTTAGGAGCTGGACTGGGTTATTTTATCTTATTTTGTAAACTTTATTGATGTCAGAGAGGAAGGGAGAGGGACGGAGAGGTAGAAACATCCATGATGAGAGAGAGTCATGGACTGGCTGCCTCCTGCACGCCCCACACTGGGGATGGAGCCCACAGCCCGGGCCTGTGCCCTGACCGGGAATCGAACCGGGACCTCCTGGTTCACAGGTCGACACTCACCACTGAGCCATGCCGGCCGGGCAGGGTGGGGGTTTGAGGCCAGGCACTGGGCCCCATCCGCTCTCCAGCCTTGGTTTCCCCTCCTGGTGCCGGTTTGAGTGAGAGCCCGGCCTCTGGGCTTGGACGGTGTTTAGTGAATCTTTGAGAAAAAGATGCGTCCGAGCCGCCCACCCTCCCCGCACTCCCTGCAGTCTGAGCCTCCCTGCGTGCCCCTGCCCCTCAGGGAGCCCACCTGGGCCCTGGGATGGTGGGTGGACAGACGGATGATGGACAGGGGAGGCTGGCGTATGGGCCTCAGGAACTCATGGCGCGCTCTCCCCGGGGAGAGGGGAGGGCCCTGAGGGGAGTCTGAGCTGAGAGCCCCATGCCCAGGAGACAGGAGGCCATGCCCCCAAGGTGCCCGGCACGGCCCACCCCAGTGGATGGGCCCCGCCCTGCCCAGGCCTGCCCATCCCTGCCACAAGGGATGGGAAAGCTCTGTGTCCTGAGCCAGTGCTGGTGCTGCCAGCCCAGCCCCTGAGGCCGGCAGACCTCCCGGCACAGCCCCTCCCCTGCTGTCAGGAGCCCTAACCCGGCCCAGCCTCCCTGCCAGGGCACAGGGCGTGCCCGGAGGCTGTCAGGCCTGGTGGAGAAGAGGGCAGAAGGCAGGCTGTCCCTGAGGGCATTGGCAGGGGCAGGGCTGGTTGGCACGTGGGAGAGAGCCCGCTGACAGCTTCTGGAGGACGGAACAGGAGGTGCTGGTGGGAGGGGCTGCGTCGAATTCAGCCAGAAGCCCTGGTGCCTGATTCTTTTTATTTTTTTTTATTTTTATTGATTTCAGAGAGGAAGGGAGAGGGAGAGGGAGAGACAGAAACATAATGATGAGAGAGAGTCATGGATGGGCTGCCTCCTGCACGCCCCCCACCAGGGAACGAGCCCGCAACCTGGGCAGGTGCCCTTGCCAGGAATGGAACCCGGGACCCTTCGGTCTGCAGGCCGGCGCTCTATCCACTGAACCACACCAGCGAGGGCTGGGTCAGGTCATTCTTTCTGCCAGAAGCTCCTCCCATCTCTGACCCCCCCAAATCCTCCCTGCTAAGCCACAGGGCCCCATCCCAGTAAGAACCCCATCTCTATCAAGCAGGGACCCCTCCTGGGAGCCCCCAGACTCCCATGCTGGGTTCAGGGGTGAGCATGTCATGTGACCAGCTGCTGAAGCCGAGCTGAGGGGAGAGGCTGGGTCCTGGAGCTGCCTGCTCCACCGGAGCCTGGACGTGCCCCACCCGCTCTGGGGCCTTGGGCAGGTCGCTGACAATCGGCCCCGTGGGGAGGACAGGCACCCCGCTTGGGGTGTGGTGGAGATTAAGTGGGTTCACCCGCCCGGCGGGGCTCAGGGGTTGAGCATCGACCTATGAACCAGGAGGTCACGGGTCGATTCCCGGTCAGGGCACATGGTTGCGGGCACATGTTCTGGGCGGCAGGCAGGCGGGAGGCGCAGGGATATGTCTCGGGCTTCACACTGGGCTGTGCCTCGGGGGGAGGAGAGGGTCGGGTGGCCCAGAGCCGGCTGGCGCAGCCCCTGGCCCTGTCCCCTGTCCCCCGTCCCCCGCCCCCCGTCCCCCGTCCCCCGCCCCCCGTCC